ATTTTACGTTATTCCTAGCATTGTTAGAATTTATAAGGTAATTTGCAACGTAGGCCTACAACAACTTACGACAGTATACAAGTGTTCAAACTTGTAGAAGTCTTAAAGAAAGAAAGTTGCTTTCTTCACGTGACCTGAATATTGAATTATTTTTACCAGATAATTTTAAAAGAACCTGCTCACGAAAGAACAACGTTACAACAGTATTGTATAACTTTGTGGAGTTTCGTTCACAACCTCCTCTCATAACCATATTGACAGTTTCATCTGTTCTCTCCTATAACAAAGTACAATTTCATCCTTGATTTGTTCTACGATATAAAATAGTTTCATCTACAACCACAACCTGTCCTTTAACTATATATATATATAGTTTAGTTCAGCATCTCTCCTGGAACTATTTTCATCCATGACCTCTCCGATAAAGTTTTCATCCATGCCTTATCTTAGAACTATATATAGTCTCATCCGTTCATAGAATTAGATACTTCTTTGGATGACTTGTATTAGCAAATTTTAAAGAAAATCCAGATCGTCGCTTATGGTTGCAATATTAATGAAACGACTGAATGTTTTTGTTTCGTACTAGGCCTGAGATGAGCTCTTCTCAGTTGTATTCATTATGGCTACACTAGTAATTGAAACATGACCAAAGATAAATCAGTGTTGTAACATTTATTTAAATTTGGAGTTTAATTACTATGGCATATAACGTGTAAAGTATACAGTTAGGTGTCTCTCCACTTGTCTAAAAAAAAAAAAACGTTTACCGTAACTTAATACTTGATTATGGGCGCATTTAAAATTAAACAATAGTAATCAGTGTTGGAACTACCATAAGGCATAACGCCACGGTACTGTACGCTAACTGTACATCATCTACAACATGGACGTCAGGCAAAAAAAAGTCTTCAAAAGAACTGGAATTTGCATAACGTTGGAAGATGAAGAAAATAAAACAAAATAACTGTGTTTAAATATAGCGTTTTAAATAGAAACAAATTTATTTTATTTAGCAACATTTAGAACAAGTGATCTTTGTCGGGCTTAATTTCATTTTCATATTAAGCCTAAGGATGTGCCTTGAAGAAGAGTTAGGATTGAAAAATGCAATATAGCAGCTTAAGTGAGGGACGTGACACTTGTGATACGTGACTTTCAGTTTACTGTAAATGCGCATGCAGCATTTTTGTTCTTTTAAAATAAAATTGACGTAAAACACATCGTTTAAATAGGAACAAATTTATTTTCTCAAACAACGTTTCGAACAACCATTTTTCTTTAGGCTTAATATGAAAAATAATATTAGGCCTTACGAAAAGTAGTTGATCGAAACGTCGCTAGAAAAAAATATTTTGTTTATTTCAATGTTGTGTTTTTACAGTGATTTTTACTTTATTGCATTTATCTTCCAACTTTCTACGGATTCCAATTCTTAATTTTTTTTTCTTTTACCTAATGTCCACCATGGAAATACTAACAAAACATTCCAGATTGGGCGCATTCCAAAATTGAATGATACTAGTCAGCGTTGGTGCAACCATGATGTCACGGTTAGTTGAACGCTGACTGTAAATTTGAAACGCTTTGTTAACTTTGTTTGTATTTCCAAGATGGACATTAGGCAAAGAAAAATAATTTAAGAAAAACTGGAATTCGTACAACATTTAAAAATAAATAAAATTGAGATAAAATACTGTAAAATACAGCATTGAAAAATATTATTTTATCTAGTGATATTTGAAACAACTGTTCTTCGTGAGGCGTAATTTCATTTTCATAATAAAGCCCAAAGAAGAGTGGTTGTTCAAAACTTTGCTAGATAATTTTTTCTCCCATTTAAACGTTGTTTTTACAGTTATTTTATTTTAAAAGAAAATAATTGTTGCATATACGTTTACAATAGTCCCCCAATAGGACAGCGGTAAGTCTTCGGAGTTACAATGCTAAAATCAGGGGTTAGATTCCCCTCGATGGACACAGCAGATAGCCCGATGTAGCTTTGCTATAAGAAAACACATACGCACGTTTGCAGTAAACTATAAGTAACCTATCACAAGTGTTACGTCCCTTGCCATGTTTCATTTTTCAGTCTCAACGCTCCTTCGGGCCGTTGAGTGTGTTGAGTCAACAACCACAAAGGAACAAGGAGCGCCGACGCTGAATATCAATGTTGAATTTTGAAATGTGCCCTATCGTTGAATTTTGTAATACATCCAGTATTGCACATCATGCTACAATAACTTAGACTGCTAATATTATAATTAGTTATTTTATTAGTATTATTTATAGCACAAAGTAACCTCAACACAGGATAACAGGAGTGTTAATCTGAGCCAACAAGGTTTAGCTATTTCATTATTATTACAGTTTTAACACGCCTATCTTACATCCATGACTTCGCATCGAGCTATATGCTTTTGATGTATACTTCCTTCCATAACCTGCCCTGGAGCTATATAGTTTCATCTGTGACCTGTCTTGCAGCTCTAGACTTTTACCAATGACACGTCACCCGGTAGGACAGCGGTAAGTCTATGGGGGTTCGATTCCTCGCGGTGGACACAGCAGATAGTCCAATGTGGCTTTGTTCTAAATCAGACAAACAAATACTAATGACACCTGTTTTAGAAACATACTACCAACGATGACCTATTTGAGAGTTATATATTTCCATACATAACCTCACTCACAACTATATACCTAATTCTAACTTGACATAGATTACTTTACTTTCGTCCACGACTTCTCTTAAAGTTGTGTTTCTTCTGCATTGGCCGTCTTAGGGCTATATACATTCGCTCATGACCTCTTAAAACCATAAAGTTTTCATCCTTAATATGTCTTACAGGTGCATACTTCTGTTCTTGACCTGTCTTAGAACTACATGGTTTCATCCATGGCCTTTCGTAGACCTATAAAGTTTCATCCACGAACTGCCTTTGGTGTATATGCTGCCATTCTAGACCTTCTTGAACTGTGTACCTTAATCCGCAATCTTTCTTGAAACTGTAAATTTTCGTCTATTGCCTATCTTAGAGCTACATACTTCCGTTCATAATCTGGCTTGGATATATATATACTTCCTTTCATGACCTCTGTTAAAGTTATATATACATATCTCATCCAGGGCCTGGCCTAGAACTATATACTTCTGTCTACGAACTTCCTGAGAAATGTGTGCTTTTGTGAATGATCTATCTTGGAACTATATATCTTCAACCATTTCCTGTCTCACAGATATATACTTCCATACATCACCTGTTTTAGAACTGTCTTCCATTCGTGTTCTGTCCTAGAACTATGTGCTACCATCCATCACCTGTCCTAAATTCTTATACTTTCGTTCTTACCCTTTCCTACAGTTACACATTTTCGTCCTTAAACTGTCTTAGAATTATATATTTTCATACTTTAATCCGTGACCTGTCTAAGAGCTCTATTTTTTCATCCATGGCCTGTCTTACAGGTATATGCTACAGTTCATGACCTAGCATAGTGATATATACATTACCGGTCATGACCTGTTTAAGAGTTACACACTTTCATCTATGACCTGTTTTAGAGTTACACACTTTCATCTATGACCTGTTTTAGAGTTACACACTTTTATGTATGACCTGTATTAGAGTTGCACACTTTCATGTATGGCCTATCTTAGAGCTATATAATGCAATTCATGACCTGCTTTAGAATTATGCACTTCGTGTATAACCTGTATTAGAGATGCACATTTTCCTGTATGAACTAAGAGTATCGTAGCGCCCTAGAGCTATATACTGACAGGTGTTATTAGCTAGCAAAGAAGATATATTCGCCAATTACTTATCTACCTGTGAACTATGATACTTGATACGTTTAGCCAAAAAATGTTTTAGGGATGGAATTCCTTTTGCATATTCTTCTGGTATTATTCCTCGCGGGTTCGATACTTAGAGGTGAAACGTTTCGGACTTCATATGGGCTTTTGTGATATTTTTTAAATACTGTACTTTACGGGTTAAAGATTTAGAAGCTTAACTTATGTGGGCTTTTTATTTTTTTATGTTCTTTAAACAGTACAGACCATACATTTAGGTGCGAAATGTCACAGGCGTTATGTGTGTTGTTTTGATGTTCTTTATTCGTACTTCACGAGTTAAAGATTTGGAGGCCAAAAATCTCAGACTTTATATGGGCCCCTTTTTTCATATCCTCGAAGTATTCTTTAAGGGTTAAGAACACAAAGATCAAATACTTTGTGTGGGTCTTTTTACGGTTTCCAAATACCATATATGTGGTGTTAAAGATTATTTAGAGGCCAAGAGTCATATATTTTACGTGAGACTTTTATGGCTTTCAAAATAGTATAATTTACCGGTCAAAAATTACTTAGAGGGTAAAGGTCACAGACTTTATTTGGAAGAAAACTAAATATCGCTGTCTTTGAGTGCAGGAGGGGTGGGGGCAACCATTTCATCCACCCAGTTTTATTCTGAGGTTGGTATCGTAAAGTTGGTTGAAGTTAGCTGGTGCATTTCGTAGATGGAAACCATAGGGTGAGAAACCTTCACCTGTATTAAGTTCACACTTTATCGAGTTAAGTTACATAATTCAGCATAACTGTAAATAAATATCTTTCTTTCTGTATACACAGCAGGTGCAACAAGAAAACGATTAATTAAGTAGCAGTCACCATGTTGTGTAAGCATGTGGCGATTTATGTCTACTTTTTTGGTGGCTGTAATAAGTTATTATATAAAACGATACCGATAAGTATAAGAAACCAACTCTGTTTCTTCGTTCACTGGCGCTACGGCTTTGTTGACATAGCGAGCTAAAGCGTGCCTTATTTGGCAGGAAAGGCATGGCTGCAATATTCAATTACGCGAATCTTTTTTTTGTTCTACTTCTTTGCTGGCACTCTCTGCTCTTGTGTATTCTATTTTTAACATATCTTCTTTTCTCTCCTATCTATGGCACCACTCTGTGGGGACTCTTGTGTCCGGTTCCTGTGCTAGGTGAACCCGGGAAGTTTGGCGGAGAATGCTGGGTTACAGTCTGGCGATGGCGTTCTCAAAATCCAGGGCCAAGCCACGGAAAATATGCGTCATAAGGAGGCGCAGGATACAATTATCAAGGCCGGGAATTTCCTAGAGATGCTGATTCAAAGGTATGGGAACTCACATGATCTCAAATCCTACCAAGAGATTTATTAGAGGACCATATTGAATACTTTAAATGGTCACACGAAAAGCAGAGTTTTATAATGATACCCAAAGTAGTCATAACAAAATAAATGAATATGTTATCAACAAGTTTTGGGCAAGAAGCATGAAATTCCAGTTCAGCATGCATTGAAGACCTTTTTCTTAGTCAGCAACTAGTTACTTGCTAACACTTTCTCCAAAAGATGCTTACTTGATATTGAATTTAATGAAGAAAATTTAATAACTGGAAGGATTAATAAATATCTTCAAAAGGATACAAAATGGTAAAGTACTACAGAAATCATTTCGGATGCGTGCATACCTCAGAAGAACAGCAAACAGTAAGGAAAATAAACCCTTTCAGTTACTTGCAGACCTCAAAATTACACCACACAGTAAAATAAAGAAACCATTTCAGTTACATGTAGACTTCAGAATTACACTACACAGTAAGATATAGAAACCTCTTCAGTTGTATGTAGACTTCAGAATTACACTACACAGTAAAATATAGAAACCTCTTCAGTCGCATGTAGACTTCAGAATTACACTACACAGTAAAATATAGAAACCTCTTCAGTTGCATGTAGACTTCAGAATTACACTACACAGTAAAATATAGAAACCTCTTCAGTTGCATTTAGACTTCAGAAGAACACTATACAGTAAAATATAGAAACCTTTTCAATAAGTTGCAGAACTAAGAACACTACACAGTAAAATAAAGGAACTTTTCCAGTTTCGTGCAGACTTCAGAGGAACACGAAACAATAAAATAAATAAACGCTTTTAGTTGCAAAATTAAAAACACTACATAGTAAAATAAAGAAACCCATTCAGTAACTTGCAGAACTAAGAATTGCACAGTAAAATAATGAAATCCTTTCTATAACTTTCAGAACTAAGAACACTGTTCATTAAAATAAAGAAACCCTTTCAGTAACTTGCAGAACTAAGAATTGCACAGTAAAATAAATAAATCCTTTCTATAACTTTCAGAACTAAGAACACTGTGCATTAAAATGAAGAAATAATTTCATTTACATGCAGAACTACGAAGAGTGTTTGTTTGTTTGTTTTGAATTTCGCGCAAAGCTACACGAGGGCTATCTGCGCTAGCCGTCCCTAATTTAGCAGTGTGAGACTATAGGGAAGGCAACTAATCATCACCACCCACCGCCAACTCTTGGGCTACTCTTTTGCCAACGAATAGTGGAAATGACCGTCACATTATAACCCCCCCCCCCACGGCTGAAAGGGCGAGCATGTTTGGTGTGACAGGATTCGAACCCGCGACCCTCATATGGCGAGTCGAGTGCCTTAACCACCTGGCCATGCCGGGCCCAACTACGAAGAACACTGCAATGGAGAATACAAAACCCTCTTGTTACTTGTAACGTGAAGAGGAACACTACACAGTAAAACGAAAAAACATGTAATTACAGACCTAAAACACAGAAACATTTTCAGTTACTTACACAGATCTAAGAATAACACTACATGGTAAAGTATACAAACTCCTTCAGTTACTTACACAGATCTAAGAATAATGCTACATGGTAAAATACAGAAACCGTTTCAATTGCTTGCAGAACTAAGAATAACACTACATGGTAAAGTATACAAACTCCTTCAGTTACTTACACAGATCTAAGAATAATGCTACATGGTAGAATACAGAAACCGTTTCAATTGCTTGCAGAACTAAGAATAACACTACATGGTAAAGTATACAAACTCCTTCAGTTACTTACACAGATCTAAGAATAATGCTACATGGTAAAATACAGAAACCCTTTCGGACACTTTTTGAAATAAAAATAACACTACATGGTAAAAGAATAACATACTTGCATTTATTTGTAGAAAAACACAACGCTACACGGTAAAAATAAACAAACCTATATAAAATGTCCACTATTTTCAATAGTAAGTGATATAGTTATTAAGTACATGTAAACAGCAACACGTGTGGCATGTACGTGTTGCTCATAAGCAGACTCGTATATAGAAAACCATATGCAAAGAAGACAGCTGAAGCTCGTGTTGTGTGATGTAATATAACTTTGGGGAGTGCCGAATTTTGAGTTTTGTGTGTGTATTGCGATAATATATGTTATTTACCAGTCCAGTATCCTTTAAATGATTATATATTATTATTATTTTATTTTAATCTTTGATAGGTTGTTTAGGCAGAGTTTCAAATGGACAGCAACTGCCTGTTGAAGAAAACTACCAATGTAGAGGACGAAAGACTTTCGAAACGTCGTCCTCTACATTTGTAGTTTTCTACAACAGGCAGTTGCTGTCCATTTGAAACATAGATTCATTATTTTATTTTATTTTTGTATAGACTATTTCCTGTCTTTTACGTTTATATTAAATAAATAACCTACATATAGATATATAGAAAGATATACACAGAGACGGACTTCTTTTCGCCATTCTTATGTCTGGCTTAATATTTTTTGTTGGTAACATATGTAAAATGATAGTTTTGTGTATATAATAATCAGTATCACAACGTAAAACTTCATGGCCAAAACTATAAAGTAGCAGGTCACAATGTAAAATCTAAGCGTAATTTTGTTGTAATCATTTTACTGAAGTGTTGTTTAGTCTACTGACGTGTCCTGCGGCGTTACTTTTCTGATATACATGTTTTAATAACTTATTGGACTATCCTGGCTTCCTGCACGCGTCGAAGTAGTGACGTCTTGACGTCACACGATGTGACTTATCGAGTCCAGCAGTAAGGCTCGTGGATACTGGCCTTCTAGCATAAGACATTAGTGGTGCCATATTACTCACAGAAAAGTGTGATTAAACAGAAGGGCTTGGGGCTTGTCTGGTTCTAAGAACAACGAAATTGTAGCTGATAACTTTCTTCAGTGTTAAGGAAGTTTAACGCGACGTGAAAAAATAACGTGACAACTATCTTACTAGGTCACATCCGTTTCCGTTCCGAACAAAAGCAGTTCGAGAATAACGTGTGATAAAAATGAAAATCGAACAGTATTTTAAAGAATTCACAATGAATTGTATTTAAATTTGTGGGAATTACTTTGTACTCAGTCTTTCCAATGTTTGTGTAATATTATATTCTGTTAGTATAACTTTCACTGTGTCATTCATCTTCTTACTAATACCGGTGCCAATTATTAGTAAAAAAAAAAAAAACAATAAAAGAGAAAGAAAAGTGCAGAATTCACATATGAACCGTAGTTTAGCTGGTACAGTAACCTATGACCTAGTATGACTTTATGTGAATCAGGTCATATATGACAATGCAACTGATAGCGTGTGAAAATACGTGAATACACATCATACTTAACAAGCTGAACATGCATACAAACACACCGAAGTATTCACTGATTATGCCACATCCTCCCAAAATCTACACATTCAATATGCATACTTACTCGAAACCTGCACACTGAACATGAAAACATCTGAAATCTACAATGATCGTGTACACCCACTCAAAAATCTACAGACTGAATATGAACACACACACACTAAGTGCAGAAAAAAAAATCAGGGTAGGGGATATATCTGAGAAAAAAAATTTAAAGCAAGAGAAAAACACTACAAACATTTTTCTTCTCCGAAAGTTTGGGGGTTTAAATGCCGGTCCCCTCCTTGCTCTTTACACACACACTAGAAGTCTACTCGCTGAACTTGAAAATGCATCTTAAATCTACAATGAACATGCTCGAAACTTACACACTGATCATGCACACACACCAGATATCTAAACACGTGCATAAACCTGTAGAAAATGTATCACCTGAACACCACTCCAGTAACACACACTGAACATAAAAATACATACAGAACCTGCTTTCTGTACATCTACTCATTAATCACTTAAATCTCACACATATAGAAACACATCGAAATTAAATACACAGGACGTAAATATACACCCGAAACATACACATTGACCACGAAGACTCTGAAAATTTTATAATTAGTCATCCACTACCCCTAACCCATTTCTATATACTGAATACACAAACAACGCGCATAGGCATACCCAATTTCCACAAAATGAAATAAATTTCTGCACCCAATTTCGAAAAACGTAACATGCATGTACACTGAGTTAAGAGAAAACTCACATATAATAGTGAACTTTGAACAAGCACTCACAGACCAGTTTCTACATATGCACACAATTCTCGCGCACTGTCATCGGTGTTAAAGCTACTAGATAAAATTGTCTGAAACATGAGATGGTATTCAGATATATAGGTTAAGAAGATGATATAGTATTCTACAGTCTCGCACATTGTTGGCAGTACAAGAGACGCGAGACAAGATTGGGCTAGAGGTGTCACCCTCGCATACTGTAGGCAATTTAAAGACGCAAGACAAAGTTAGTCTATGAAGATGAGAAAACCCTCGTGCTGAAAAGATAACGTAGTATTCTGCATTCATACACAAGATAAAGTGTAGAAATATGAGGTGACGCCCTCGCCTCTCACACACTGCCGGCAGCGTTAGAGACATGGGACAAGATCTGTCAGAAAATACGAAGTAATACCTTACATTTTCACAAAGCATCGGAGAAAAGTTAGTGTGGACCCATATTTTATTCCAAAATAGTATTTAATCCGCGCGTGACGTTTAAATCGTATTAACCCCTATTTTAAAGCGTTCTTTAAAGTGTAAAAACAGTGGAGTGTTGATGACACCAGTGTGAAACTTTCGTAAAATCACGGAAATGATAGAAGCATAAAAAAAAGACTACAGCTCGGTAGATGTAATTCAACTCCCTTTTCCAAGCTCCAAGTGTAAACGTATCTTCCCATTCCGCCCGCACACCCACACCTAGCATGTGTTAAAATAACCGAAACCTGTTCCTTTTGACAGATCATGAAATAGAAAAATGGCAATTAAGTTCAGGATCATTGCTTTGCTGTAGGTGTTAGTGATGAGGTCATGTGCAGAGACCTAT